CAAATTCATTTTTTTGCAAAGCCATATGTGCGGAACTCTAGGAGATCAAATTTAATCGCAATTAGAAATATAGTATCTAATACACTCAATGAGGCTGAATTCTACTCTAAGAAATGCTATAGATGAATAAATCCTCTCTTGCCAAAGCTAAACTGCTCTAAACAAGCACTGTGGACAAACTGACTTGGCCAATTTCTTGTAACCATCAGCGTCAAAACATATGTAGTCGGATAAGTTTTGTTTTAGTTAGGCATAGGGATCACAAAAAGTTTAAGGGCAATTAAACCTGGTTCCGAAGTTTAGTTCCAGTCATCTTTTTCTACAACAAGCTTTAGCCATGTTTAATAACTTAGTGACGATAAAGACTCTCATTACAAGGCCTGTGGCTTTAGGTTCCTATTAATTAAAAGGGATTGTAGACGCCTTTTCAGTTATGTTAAGGCAAAGTGCAAGTGGACAGTCTGGAATTAGTTTATGATCCTCATTGTACCGTAGCCCGCAGAATGTAAATTTAGGTTATTTTTATGTTGGACAACAATGAGAAGTAGGAAGTGACGCTCAAACAAATGTTCCAGTTTTTAAATTTGTCGTATCTTGATCTATAAACAAATCAAATTCTGCCTTACATTTCGAACTGGGATGAGATGCAAGCTCATGTTTTGTGTTTTATACGTGCCAATTTGGAAAAAAGGTTGCAATAAAAGAATACTTAAAGAATACTTTCTGAGTACTCTGGGGCAATTGTTCGATCTGCATTCAAAGCCGCTTGATACAATGTGCTTTATTTCATGGACACTTCTCAAGTACCGAAAAAGCGATATCTGTCTACTTTAAATTTAACAAAAATTAATTACTATTGATAAGATGTGGGTCCTAAGTAAAAAAATTATTTTCCCATAAGCCCTTTCAAAAATCGTTAAAGCATTCCCATCATCAAAATTTATAAAATCTTGGCTACGCCATTGAGATTTATGGTAATTTTGTTGTACATCAACATATCAAATAGAAATTCAGGCTGGAACGCACCAGGCTTGCCGGTCCGATCATGCATTTTTGCGCTAAAATTGCAGATCGCAAACAGAAGGAATGATTCCTACGCTGTTGTTTAACACTTGGACTCACA